CGTTACGACTGCACGACAGTTTTGAACGTGATAGAAAGTATAAGAATAACTTTTATAGATATGACCAAGAACGTACTTTTGAGGTGATGATTGTAAGTTGAGCGTTTACTTGACCGTGGAAGACCGATGCTTCATCACATATGGGCCGGCGATGTAATACGAATTTAATTTGACTGCACGGATGGTGTAGTGGTTTAAGCGGTCACTTCACCGCTTACTACTACGCCGAGTGTTGTGGGTCCGAACCCCACATGGGACGACACTTTGTGCTATCAACAAATTATTGCTCTTAGTCTGGGTGTTCTTTGTGTCCGTTTCATGTACGAGTATGTTGATAAAGTCCCCCGCGACACAGGATATATTCCTAATGCGGGAGTTGTCTTTAAAAAATATTAATAATATTATTATTATTATTAAAATATTAATATTAATATTATTAATAATCTTATTAATAATAAATATTAATATTAAAATATTAATATTATTATTAACACGGTGCGCGAGGTATAAAAGTATTTTTGGAAATTTCACCCCTAAGGGGTAAAATAAGGGATGAACGGTTTACTATACCTTAGTTAAAAAGGAAATAATGAACCGAGCGTAACCGCTGGCCAAATTGTATGTAAAATCAAAATATTGTAATATTAGCATAGAAGAAAAAGATTGAAATCTTCAAATTAAATTTAGAATCTCCAGTTTTAAACAAAGAACTAGAAAATAGATAAAATCCCGTGTTTAAACAGATTTCATTTGCATTTTCGACCTATAATTTCACAGTAAATAAACGATGCAGTGGCTAAATAGTGGAGGCAAAAAACGGTTCTCGAATGTTTAAATAGTTCTTTTATACCCAAGGTCCTGTTAGATCCGAGATTATATTTGCATTTAGTAGCCTCATAGATCTGATTACTATCGGTAACTGACGTCCGGCGATTCGATTTAAATCTGTTGCAATCTGTTGTTGTTTATTACAATTTTAAACTTTAATTCAGATTTTACTGATAGTTGAACACCCGTAAGGACTCTTTTACTCCATATTTAGTCAAAAATTAATGATACACATATTGTTACTGTAGTTTCATTAAGTGAATCTAAATCAAAACGATTTCTTCCTACTTTGACCAGCCGTCAGTGCCTTACATAAGGAAGAAATGCAAAGCTTCGGTTTGCTTTAAAGTCACCAAAGGACCTATCTTTCTCTGATGTTTACAGTCTGTTCACATAATCTGTACCCTGAATTATATGGACTGAAATTTAAGTATTTAGTTTTCTACAGACAAGAACTATTCATGTAGGATGGGTAACCTTACCTTTTCTACTAACTCCTTGGCTGAAATAATTTTTCGTACGTAGATTTTGCCACCTGTTTTATAATTTCTCTGCATTTGGGGATTTTGTCTATCTATCTCTAGGGATTAACCGCTAAGGATTTTTGGAGCAGGTACATTTTCAATTGCTACCTGTTCTCGTTCCACTGCTTGAATTATTTTGTGTAAGAATTTTAGGGCCCAATTTTTATTGATATGTAAAACATATATGTAAAACAAATTCATACAAGTATATATATAATAGAATCAATAAATGACTCATTGCGTGACTGTATCAAGAAATAAGTACGATTTCTTTATAAGCATTGCTTACATCATGTCTGTTTAGATACAACTGACTTGATCAATTCAGTACGTTAATCTCAGCTTAGGCGTACACATTATAAGGTTAGTGTTTTTTAATACAGACAAAAAATAGTCAATACTTAAACAAATGTTTTTTAATACTACTTTTCTCACCAATCGTAGACATAACTTTACTGTACTATGTTCAAACTAAAAATATTGCAAACTACCTACAATTCTTTTGTTCTCAGTACCAAATATATTCACACATTTGCTCATCAAAAATTGTTTTATCTGCAATAACTGTTCATTTATTGCATTATTTTCTATGATTATTTTTATTTCAATTGCTGAAACCTAGACCGTATACCTACTAAATCATTTTTTACTTGTTGATATCCATAAAAGACGTTGCTTCACGATGGGTGCGAAGTTCCTTAACATTTCACAAGACGCAATTAAAACTATAATTACACAGATCATAATAACGAACGTGTCAGTTTGGATTTCCCGGCCATTAAATAGTGATCTCATATCTGCTTTGTTTATCAAAGAACTCCTAATGGTTAAAGACACTATAGGTGTTAATACCAACTATTTATTTAACCATTTAGTTACTAAATGTTTTCAAACTTTCTGTCACTCTTGACTGTGGAATATATTTCAGTGTTACAATTACCTTACGGCTTGAATACCTACTCTTAAATGATTTTTCTACTGTGTATTAACTCTACCTATTTGTCAGCCATTGTATTATTATTGTTTTAGCAAGAATTTAATGTTTATAAAAAAACGGCGTGAGGAATCTATAGGTCGGAACTAAGTAACTAAGTTCGTTCTCTTTTTGGTTGCTACACAGTCATTATAATTTATATTAGGGTCGGAAAAAAGTCTTGTTACACATTTTTCGATCTCGCTCCCATCCGCTCAGAGCGCTAAAGCGCTAAAGAACTTCGTTCCAAAAAACACAATTATTATAATATCATCTCAAAATATGGTCTCCTCGGATACCACCTGTCGGTGGCATGTCGGACTCGAACCGACTAAAACCGCACGCCGGCTCGGGTACTAATAGCCGGGGAACCAGGTATGCCCTAGAAAGGAAGTCCCTGGTGCCCCGACATACCTCGGGTCATCTACAGACGAGTAGAGACCCCGTGTGGGAACCCCATGTTCCCTGTACTCCCTGGAAGCGAGCGCGCTTCGCAACGCGCTCGCTGCCACCCCGGCCTGCTTCTGCTAGGGTGACAGATGACCTCACCTGTCACCCCCAGGCCTGCGCTTATGGAGGACGGAGGTCGTTCTGCGACCTCCGGCGCCTGAGTCGCCTGCGGTATCTGGCCCGTTCCCGGGCCTGGCGGGCCGGGAGAGTCCTAAACCTCTCCCGGTCCCGCTCCGCCGTCTCCTTCGCGAGCATAACTTGCTCGCAGAAGGAGACGGCAGAGTTCCACGCACTCTCGCTCCGCACGATAGCCGCAATCAGGCTATCGAGCGAGAGAACTCCCACTCCGATGGCCGCCACGAGGTCTCGCCTCTGCTCAACCCACGCCGGGCACTCTGCCAGCGTGTGGAGAGCCGTGTCCACGGTCTGGCCATCGCAGTGGTGGCACTCAGGGGTTGGCTCCTTGCGGATCAGACAGAGGTGATCCCCGAAACATCCTTTCCCAGTGATCACCTGCGTCAGTCGGTATGAGAGGGTCCCGTGACGCCTCTCGAGCCAATCCTCCATAACGGGTCTTACCGCCGCGATGACGGCGTGCCCGGCGCTCGGTTGCCCGAGTCGTAAAATATGGTCTCCTACGCTTTTTAGACCTAGAACAAACTATCAAAAGAATTGATGAATGATTGAATTGACCGTAATATTTAAAGTATTTATTCTACCATATCTTTATTGCTTAACCGTTTAGCGGTTTATAATAAATTGGCCTAGAACATTAGGTGACTCATTTTTAAAACCCGCTAGATATTTGATGTTTCAGACTATAAATTATTTTCATTAGTAAAACCATTTAAATATGGAAGACCGAATATTCCATTCATACATATCAGGTATACATATTTCCAGATCTTTTCAATTTTAATTGCAAACTTAAACATAGTAACAGTTGTTCTGAATATCATTTATAACACATACCTATTTATACATATATTTTTATATCTCAAACCTTTCTAATGTTGTTGATGCTTCTGTGAAGCAGTGGACTTTGTAATCAGTGTGAAGCAGTGATCAGCCTCGGATGATGATGATGATAATGCTTCTGGGAGATCTATGCTTCGGCGCATATGGGATGGGTCGACCGGAGTGATACCTCACAGAAATATTAAGCAATTACTTCGTAGGTTTTCACCAAGTAAGGTTACCGAAGGTCTTGAACCTTGTAATTGTAAGTTGTGACACAGGACACAATTATCAATTTTTAATAGGTCTTTACCTATGAAATTGCCGTTTTGTACGCAATAAGTGAAAGTACTTATTTTTTCAAACGTTTTATTTCTGTTATTCGAAGTAATCACCCATGCAATCGACGCATCTTTGCCAACGCATTGGCAGTTTATTGATGCCCTTCTTGTAAAAATCAGCTGGACGGGAGGCAACAAACTCTTCAAAGGCATTTTGTACTGCCTCTCGGGAATTGAATTTTTTACCCACTAAAAAGTTGTCTAAATTTTGGAAAAAGTAATACTCGGTAGGTGCAAGGTCTGGTGGTCACATCTGCAACCAGCTTTGGTCAATCGGTCGTCCCCACTGCTCTTTCACGACAACGCGCGACCCCATACTGCGCAACAGACAGTCTCCAAGCTGCAAGAGCTGGGGTTGGAAGCTCTCCCTCATCCGCCAGACCAGACCTTGCACCTACCGACTATTACTTTTTCCAAAATTTAGACAACTTTTTAGTGGGTAAAAAATTCAATTCCCGAGAGGCAGTACAAAATGCCTTTGAAGAGTTTGTTGCCTCCCGTCCAGCTGATTTTTACAAGAAGGGCATCAATAAACTGCCAATGCGTTGATTGCATGGGTGATTACTTCGATTAACAGAAATAAAAAAGTTTGAAAAAATAAGTTCTTTCACTTATTGCATATAAAACGGCAATTTCATAGGTAAAGACCTAATAATTTCAATTTTCCTTTAACAAACTATCGATTCCATACTGGCTCTGGAAATATCAATGAATGAGTTTGAGGTATTAGTCGTAATTTCCTAAATAACAGTTTTTTTCTTTAAATCAAAAAGAGTCGATTAGTGTGAAAGACTTAAGATGAAATATTCGTTTTTGATATCTCAACTCTTAATAGTCATAATAATAACCTTTTATAGGTATCTGTAAGTGGGTTGACGTGAGAACTACCTATTCAAGGCATTAACGGTGGTAAATTTCTTGTTTCAGGACCAGTACAGGCTGTTAGAGGAGGCGGCGCATACTCATACTCCGACTCGTCCGGCCATAGATACAGCGGCACTTACGATCTGAAGCCCGACGGCCAGATCGTTCACAGTTCTGGCGACCCCGTGCCTTTCTCGGACACTGCACTACCAGGGTATGGATACGGCTTCAACCCCGGATATCAAGGAGACGACTTCTACCCGACATATTTCTCGAATCTAGAGAATTTACTCCAAGAGTAAGAGTCGAACTTATGAAGCAGTATGCTTTCGGTGGAGGTTCTACTCTTTTTGCGGTGACAGTCAAACTGTTCTATATAAATGTATCTTTAACTCTTTACTCTAGTTACCTATCCCAGGTATTCAAATGCTGCAAATTTCGTAAGAGGTTTTCAGTATATTTATATCAACTCTTTATTACTCGTATAATTTTTGCACAAACTCATTGATTCACACAGACTTCTGTTTACTAAAGCAAATATAAAGCTTGCATACTATAACTTTAAAAGGTGTCCCTATCATAGTGCTCAAACTATTAATATTTTAATTGATTTTATTATTTTATAGCCATCTCTTAAACGCTAGAACAGCGTAACAAAGGAGCTTTTCCTCTCTAATAACTTTTATTATTTTCAATCATACTAATCCTTTCTGGCTTAGATCTTCTCTGTCGCTTCTAAACCTACATCATCCTACACTTAAAGTGATCCATATGTTTGAACAAATATTTTGGATTCCAGGGTGTTCCAATCAAACATTGAAAATCAGAGGCTAGCGTACAACGCAGCAAGAAAAGCCTTTGATTTATCATCGAATGAAGATTACTTTAATCATTTCGCCTCCAGGTTGCCGCCTTTCCACGACTTCAATAGATTCAGAGAAGAGATTCCTAGCTTTCCTAGATACCCCAACTTTGCGATGCCGAACTTCCCGAACAGTGCCTTCGCCAGCTCCTCTCTAGGACCAGGATTTAGACGACAAATAGCTGCAATAAACCCACAAAATCCGGTATGATGTTTTACTTATCTATGGAAAAATCTCATTTATAATGAACATCTTTATAATTATCAAATCACGAATACATCATTACTTATGTTGATTATTGTAAGTTTTGTTCTTTTACACCAACGGTTCGTTTTCGTCTTGGAATTAGAATGTATTCAAGTGATTTTAAAATTTATCAGTGTTTCGTGTTCGAAAAATATAATTTATAGTAATACAGTTATCCAAATAAATGTTTACAATATTCAATTTTGCTTAAGTTATAGAAAGTTTTGGTTAGATTTATTCTACTTTAATTAGTTTTTTTTGGTTTAGGATCTTACGGTGTTATGTTATGTCCTACAATTCATATCAATTCGGTCAATTGAACTTGTATGAGAAATTTCTAATGCATATACTGACCTTCATATACAATATATAGTTGTGATAGACGATACCGCATATGATGTCCTTGTTGTCAATACAAAAGAGTCTAAGTAAAAATATGACTCCATTAAATAAATTAAATAAAATATGAGTCTAAGTATAAAACAACTTATGGAAATCGTACTGTTAATTTTTTAATAAACTAAATAGTTATATAATAGACACACTCATTAGGTACTTGTCTTATTTCTAGCGCTGTTGTGCTAGAAAATCAAGGTCGCTTAGACTAGTCTACGGTGTTTAGACAGATAATATAATTAAAGAGACGTACAGTCATGCTTGTTTTTCAGAGGTTTATGGTGTCAAATGAGTTTTTACTATATATATAGATAAGTTGACATATTTCTATACTAATATTATAAAGAGTCAAAGTTTGTGATTTTTTATGTTTCGGGTAATCTCCAGTAATACTGATCCGATTTTGAAAATTCTTTCAGTGGTAGAAGGGTGTATTATTTCTTAGTGCCATAGACTCCTTTTAACCGCGATAACCGACATACACACAGGTGGAGGACGTGGCAAAAATTAGTCTAGACTAATATTATAAAGAGGTAAAGTTTCGGGGTAATCTCAAGAGCCACTAGTTTGAATTGAAAAAATTATCTTAGTGTTGGATGGCCCTTTAATCGAAGTAGGATATAGGCTATATAACATCACGCTGCGACCGATAGGAGCCGATTATACTTTAAAATGTTGTGAAAACGGGCAAAATTTATTCCCTTTTGAAAGAAGCAGACGAAGTTGCACGGGTCTGTTGGTTCATAATAAAAACTTCGAATAGCCTGTTGGAATAGTGGTTAGTGACCCTGACTGCTACGTCAGGGGTTGTGGGTTCAATTCCCACACAGGACAAATAATTATGTGATGAGCACGGCCATTTGTTCTGTGTCTTACTTTATCTGTAATATGTATGTATTTACAATTATATAAGTATGTTTATCAGCAGTCTGCTTACCATAGTACAGGCTCTGCCTAGTTTGGGATCAGACGGTCGTGTGTGAAATGCTAAATAAAAAAAAATAAACTAAGGCTCATTTCTATTTACAGCTGTCGAATAACGTGAACATTAACAAAGTGAGCCACTTCTCGGATTCCCCCGGGCGTGGTGGATACTATGGTGTCTCCAGCAAATCCTACGCATCATCTTCAAACGTCAACGGCCAAGAATACAACCGCAGGGGAGCCATAACCACAGTCGATGACAATGGCAAAGTGACCTCATACAAGGTCGAAAGTTAAATATAATATTCTAAACGCCTTTACCGTTAATTTAAAAATGGATCTCATACTAAAAAGAAGTCGATTAAAAAACAAATGTGACGAAAATTTTGGCGGTGCACCGAAATGCTTTTTCGATAATTTGCCGTTATGTAATAAATATATTTTAAATATAAACCATTATATCGTGAAGTAGAGGCATACAATTATATGTTATTTATTTCGTTACACGATCAATCAGTGTACAAAAAAATTTATCAATAAAATTATTAAATGTTGTTTTAGTTTTCATTATCCCTGTGTTATAAATTCAAAAATAATAGTAATAATATTCTTCTACATTCATACAACGCCATCTAGTCCCAAACTAAGCTGAGCTTGTGCTATGGGTACTAGACAACTGATATAAATACGTATATACTTCTTTTGTAAATATATACATAGAAACACCCAGATTATTTTATTACCCAAAAATGTGGTACTTTTTTCGTAACAAAAAAAACTTCCGAAGTAGGAAAGTTGTTATTGGATCTCTGCCAAAGTAAATTACCTAAAACGCTAAATAAGCAGAGGAGTTGTAGAGAGTTAACACGTGACGCATAAGGCTTACCTTATCACTAATAATCATCACTATCGTCATTATCATCAACATTGCTAAGACTTTTGGCTGGTTTGTTTTATGGCCGGCCGGCATCCTGATGCCAATTCTCCGTGAAAATGTAAACGATTTCAGAAGTAACAAAGAAAGAAAGTTAATTGGGATACAGAGAATGAATAGACTGAGGGAGACAGGATCAGATTACAAGTGTTAGGTGGTAAAAGGGACTAAGACGTGTTAGTATGTCGGTCCTGTGACAATCACAGGATGGGTATACTACAAGGCCTCTTATACAAGGATATCAACTTACCATGATGCCTACCTTTTTACCATAAGAAAAACACATGAAAATAATACCAAAATTATGTAGTTTTTTTAACATACCTACATGGGCAAGATTGATTAACAGCATAAAAACATCACACGAAAACATTGTTACAGAATACTTAGAAACGTGCACGCAGTCATTATATGACGTCTTGTACCATACCTCTCAACCTCTGAACAACGTCTCAAGGTTATTAAGATAGCATCACTGAGTTTTTTCTACATCCAATTACTAAGTTACCGACACGGGATGAACAAAAACAATGACCACACGAGCATTAGTTTAATTTCACCAATTTGCCGTCTAACTTAATCTTTTGCGTCGTCGTTTCGTATACATTCTGCATATAGGACCAAGGATTGCTCCTTGGTTGACCACAATCCATAGCCCCCTGTAACTCTCTACATTTACTGCAATAAAACTCTTTCATGCCGTCATCTGTTATTCTTCTATGGAACTTCCCTTGAGTTTGATAAACTGGTCTCCTGTTTAAAGTATTTCTAAAACCAGCATTGTATGTGACAATCGGCACTTCTTGATTATCCCAATTGATGTTATTATACAAAGTCGAAGGCTTCCATTGAGTCGGACTATTGATATAGTTGGGATATATGTCAAATTGATCTTGGTCATTTCTGTTGAGAGAGACAGGATTTGGGACCATTTGTGAACTCGGCCTGTTTTTGTATCTAGTATCTGGGGTTCTGATGAGGGTTGTCTCAACTGATTTGTAACCATTTACTATGGGAACTTCACCGCTATCTTCTTTTATTTCTCTGTCACTGGGATATTGTTTAAGAGCTCCTGTACCATCTACAAAAAAAATATAGATTCAGATTACATAGTAGATCAATAGGATTTTTTTTTAACATCTCCCGCATTAGGAATATATCCTGTGTTGCGGGGGACTTTACAAACATACATGAAACGTACACAAAGAACACCCAGACTCAAAACAACAATTTGTGGATCACACAAAGTGTCGTTCCATGTGGCGATCAAACGTACGACACAGCGTAGTAGGAAGCAGCGTGGCGACCGCTTAAACCACTACGTCATCCGTGCAGTCGGTTCAGTACAGTTACAAATATAAAAATGGACTTGCTGCCAAACATACACAATCTTTGACATACCAAAAATAGAGATAGTTTATTACCAATAGGACTATTTTATTGTAAGGATTGTTTACCATCTCTGTGCAATCCTCTTCTATTGTTGTTTTTTAATTTAGTCGACACGACTATCGTGTGTTTTACTTCCACGTCCTCATTATCTACTTTTGTAGAATTAGTTATTGTAGTGGATTCCTCGTCTTCTCCAAAATCCATTTTTGTAGAGATGCCGTGACTCCAACCAATGATAGCTGAAATTATAAGTTACATAATTAATCCTTATACATCTAAGAACATGAATACAACGTAGTAATACACCTTGTATTGTTGATTGAAGATGTATATGCATAAAATATCTGTACGTGTTATTACAAATTCTAACTATATCTAGAAAAAACAAAGTTCATCATGTTGAGTCATCAGTTTATAAATTATATTATTTGGAAAAAAATATTTTAGTTTATAATTGATGATATAAATAATACAAAGACTATTAAATTATTGCATCGAAGTATAATTCTTTGATAAGTAGGAGGAAGTGTTAGCCTTACAGTTTGCAAACTCTTTTGTTTCATTAAATTAAATATAATAATAAAATTTTATTTACAACGTCTCAGTCTCTAGCAACGACAAACCAGATGAATGAAAATTTAATTAAAATGAACATTTTAATCGTACACTAAAATTAAATTATTTTTTTGTGTTGTAATATATTAGTTTCAACTCACTCAAAATCTTACAATTTAAATCTTACTTTTTTTTATTAAAGCTTAGATTACATGTATTCATTTTACAAATTAAACAGGTAAGATGCAATAAATAAATGGCATAAAGTTTAAATAAATAAATAAAAAACAATAAACGAATGCAAAAGATGTGGCCGCTATTCCCAAAGTTAATTCATTTTATATAAGTTGAAGGGCTTCCATTCCATGTCAATGTCAATGATAAGTTCTAGGCCCTTTGTTTGTGCTCAGCCTTGGCCTTCTACTATTGTTGTTTCCTTTGAAAACATCGTCTATAAATAAACATATTCGCTACATTATTAATGGACTCCGCATGAATTTGTTTGTTAAGAATCACACACAAAATCGGCTTCATTTATTTTTAACATAGAGTTAAAATTTGGGATAATCGCCACTAATTGCTACTCGAAATTTAAATTTCTGGGATAGATCAAAAATGCACTTTAAACTACTCTTAACTGGTGTCAAAAAAATGATTTAAAAAAAAAATAAGTAGACAAATTATTGAAAGCTTCAAAATTTAATTGACCGGATCAAGTTTATGAATAATCATTGGAGCACCTCAAATGAGAACCTACATAATATATGTATAGGTAGGTACTTGGCACTTTAAATTAACACACACACATTTAACTTAGTAGTGCAAATATGTAGCATTTTCGAAAAACTATGAGGAAAACTTAAACAAATGCCAATTAAAAAGCCGGTTATTCCTGTACAAAGACCAAAAGTAATGTCATTTGAAACATCAGGGTTTTCTGAGCAGCAGCGAAAAAAAGAGATTTCTCGATAAAAGAGATTTGTATCACACAATTTTTATAGACGACTAAGCCAATACCGGTATACGTCTTTTACGTTACCAATCATATCTTTTCCCATTAAATGATATTTTAGGAGTTGCTTCCTTAACGGTCATACGTAAGCAAGGATATACGCACGGCCCTATGCTGGTAGTGCTAAAGGAGTTTGCGGTTCTACGTCTTTTCTATATTAGTTGTCAACTCTTTGAATGCACGGATTGCGTAGTGATGTAAGTGGTCGCCTCGCCGCTTCCTGCTACGAAGAGTGTTATGTGTTCGATGGCCTACTAGTACAACCACTTCGTGTGATTTACAAATTGTTGTTATAAGTCTGGGTGTTCTTTGTGTCCGTTTCATGAAAGTTTGTAAGAATATATTCCTAGTGCGAGAGTTGTCTTTTACAAAAAAAAAACGAATTACAAACTTCTGCAAGGTTATTGATCTCTTGTATGATATAATTTCCAACATCTCTCGCTATCCTCCACCTCCTATATCCTCCTCCTCGAAAAATCTTAGGGCCAAAATTGTAACACACATACCTACATGTAGGATATGGTATGACACATTCTCGCAAAGTACTTACTTGGTTGTGGCACTGGCGTTAACTAAATATCGACAATAGTAGGTAAACTTGATGAAACGTAAAATTGAAAGTAAATTTGAAAAAAAAACAAAATCCAAATTTCGCAAAATAGGTAAGGAATACCATTTATGGCAATATTATTACCGTCAATCACCAATCCACTGAACACCTTATTGCAAATGAATCAAGATCGAGAATCGAGAAAATATAAATATTTGGAATCTTACCACAAGTGGACAAACAGATGTACAAAACTTTAACCATGATGTCACTCGTATATAAACTTAGAAACAATAAGGCTTCTTGCGTGTCGCCTACGATTTATATAAACTACATGAAATTACACTAAATGATGTCGCAAAGGAAGCAAAGCAATTATGCCCGTGTCGATGCTATAAGAAACTTTAAAGTACTTTGTAATGGTCATGCTTTGATATGGTAACTTTATCTCGTCATGGTTTGCAGAGTAAGGCCGCGTCCTGGAGTAGAACGGCAGCGGTGACATGAGGAAGATGAAACGAATCCTATATTATGTACATATTAAAAGAATATTGTTGATCTTCCGTTATATTAGTTTGTCAACTATTTGCCTGGTACGTTGGGGGATTACCGCACACAAAAAAAAAAACGCCAGTTGTCACAGTATTAAAAAAAAAGCCGTGTGGTGTCGTGGGACACCCGATATGAACGAAGTTGTTTAAAGTTAAAACTGATTTGACACGATATTAATTACAACGCCATCTATGAAAGCGGCTATTACCTACATGTTAAAAACAATTAAAACAATTTATACATTGGTAAAATCTCCTTGCGAAATGATTTCCTATCTATTCGATAGATGGCGCTGAATGTCTGACAAGATGACACGAAAAAATATTACTAATCATAGTTCATACTTTCATTAAATTCATGGCTTACGTTGTATGTTATAATAAGATTTACTTTAATTTAAAAAAAACTTTGGGTAGGCCGTGGAAACACTCAAAACCACCAGAAAGATAATAAAATATGAATTAACATTACAAGCCTACACTATACTCACATTTACATCATCATCAGCCTATCGCAGTCCACTGCTGGACATAGGCCTCTCCCATTGCACGCCACTTAGATCGATTTTGGGCTTCTCGCATCCAGCTCCTGCCAGCCATCTTGCGCAAATCGTCACTCCACCTGGCCTGTGGGCGTCCTACACTACGTTTGCCGAGACGCGGTCTCCACTCAAGAACTCGTTTTCACATTTACATACTTACACAAAAAAAAAACTATACAATTCAAATTCAAAGAAAAATAAAATACGAAAACAAAATACGAAATACACCAAAAAAAAAAAACCTGCGGTAAAAAATTAAATAAAGAGCAAAAAGCCAACATCACGTGGTATTCCCAGGCGGTCACCCATCCAAGTACTAACCACGCCCGATGTTGCTTAACTTCGGTGATCGGACGAGAACCGGTGTATTCAACATGGTATGGACGTTGGCGAACATTGAAGCAAATTTAATGTATGGTATCCACAGTTAGACGTCAATTTATATTAATAAAAAAGTGTCGCGTCCCTGAATGAATTTTTTCCGTCTAGCCCCCTTTCACAACGCGCGATAAGGAACTTCGTTCAAAAATTTAACGAAACCCAGCGTAGGCTTAAAGTGTAACAACAACAACTTGCCCCGAGCACGAATAACTTGCGAAAAAGTATTCGTATCGTCTTCGACAAAATTTGTATGACATTTGTGCAGCGCCCCTATCGTGCGTAAAAGTAACTAGTTTTGGCAGCACGAACGTTTCGAATTTACTTTCGTATCGTCAAGCATTCGATACATTACACTTTATAAAGAAAATTGGCAGCACGAACGAAATTTTGACGTACGTTCGAAGGCTGGCTATCGAGCACCTGTCGAGCTTAGTCGAATGTTTATTCACCTAAGATTTGGCCGTGAGAAAAGTTTCGAAACAATCAATTTCTTTTAAAACTATTATTTTCAAGTATTAACGGTTAATTTTTATTAACGGTTATGTATGTTCTTGTCGCAAGTTGAATTGAAAATAAGGGTATTCAACAACTAAATTCGAGGTTAGCAAATCTTGTTTTATCAATAAAGTGTCAACTAAATATTTATCAGAAACATTTGAAGAAACTTCTACTATATTAATAAAATGTAGTATACTAAGTATGTACCTATATATATTAATCTAATTAATTATTTTTTAGTGAAATAATGTGAAGAGGTAAACAAAGAAAGATAAAAGTGAAGAAAAATCTGTCTGTTTGAAATATAAAATAATAGGGTTTTTTCATGCTCACACGGTTTTTTGCAATAGGTATCATGCCTAAAAACCAGTCTAAATATTTTTTGTCTGTCTGTTTGTTAATATTTTACTACCAGGTAGCTGTCTATATAAGGAGTAATTCAGGCTAAAAAAATTGCCCGGTCCGGGAATCGAACCCACTAAGGCGCTCTTTTCAAATTCTACGTAAACGAAGTTTCGAACACCAGCTAGTCCTTAAAATATAAATGACAACGAATTTCAAAATATATCGCTTGAAGCCTTAGCTTCAAGCGGTATATTTTGAAGTCAGTCAGTCAGTTCAGTAGTTTGACTAAACCAACAAAATAACTAAAAATGGTTATTTCGTTGAGTTGTATGCCGTGGAAGTGGTTGCGAGGGGTATACCAGTTAAATCCCTCTATAACCTGTTTAAAGACCTTGGATTGCATCAGTAAGCTTTTTCCTTGAACAAATTTCCAAAGCAGCATTGCTAGGCTCGTACCAAATTTGGTTAGATAGAGGGGGTTCCACAGCAGACAGGAATGAAAGGCATATAGTAAAACATGAGCTAGTATGAATATTTTTTATTTACCATAATTTTAAATGAATTATACAGAGTTTGTTTTTATACATTACATACATACATGTTATTTACAGAGAACATTATTTACTTTGAAAAAAAATATATGTCTAGTTAATCATTTTAATTTTATTTCACACGATTACGATTCAATTAACGGTTAAAATATCATTGCTTTTGTGAGTTTTTTTTCTGGAGGCTTCCACTCCTCTGCCACTGCGGTGACTGGAGAAGACTGAGAATGAACCTCAGATGCTGGTAAAGGAGGAGCCACAGTTGGTTGGCTGCTTGAGCCCCCAGTATTACAATCTACAACAAAATATTACAACATTTATTACTTATAAAATAACGAATATAATATTTTCAGACATCTGACACACAACACCATATAGTTTCAAACTAAGCAGAACTTGTACTATGAAACCTAGATTGACTGATATGAGACATTAGTTGTCCCTGGTATGTTTATCTGTAGGATTGCTGTGTCATTTCATTTTTCATTTATAAAGTGACAGATGTGATCTATATTTACAATTGAAACTTTATTTTAATGTCAAGTAGCAGTGTAAGTCTCATAACAACGAGAAATTGAATTATAAATATGAAATTTATCATATTCTTAAACATCACATCGTTATTTTACATTACAGTACATTGAGTATTGCAAATAGTAGGTAAATTGAATAAACTCACCTTTCAAGAAATTACACCATAGCCACGTATTGTAAATGGCTTGTTGGCACTGACTTTTTTGATGGTGGGATTTTTGGCGCAGAAGATGATGAAACACGTCTTCGTCTGTGCTGTTCAACAGTTCGATTTATTGTGGCACGACTTACTGTGGTTTATTTTAAAGAAATCTTTATCAGTTTCTTTTCACATAAGACTCAACGGTCTAGTGGTATACGACTTAGCTATTATTGGAAGATTAGATTTTTGTCACAATCGACAGCCAACACGACGTAATAATACAATTAATATTTTCTATATAATGCTTCTTAAAGTTTCAAGGTTTACAAATAATCTTAAACTTGGTGATGAATTTACAATAAAAATCTAATAAAAATAATAAACAATTTATTGACATCACGTCGTATCTATGTCAATAAATTGTCAAGTGGAGACGTGTTATTCAGAAACCGAAAAAAATGTCATAATAATTATTTTAATTCTCCAAAATATACTACATTTTAAAATCTCCCATACCTCACTTAAGATTTATTATGTGTTTAAATAAGTATATTTTGTTTAAATTGTCAATAAATAGGTAGTTTAACCGAAAGTAATAAAAAGTTCACTATTTCATTATGTTTTCGAACGCATAGTTCATTCAATAAGATGTTGAATTCGTTCTTAAGTGCACATCCTTATTTACGTTAGGATGACGTCACTAACGTAATCGTATCGAGCTCTCGATACCTTAACGTTAGTGCCTCGTGCTACCGCCTATCGTAAAACTCCGTTAACGTATCGAGGATTCGATACGTTTACGATACGCATTCGAAGATGTTTCGTGCTCGAGGCAAACTCATTTATACTAGAGACACAAGGCTTATCCGTCATGTTTGAGATATAGCACTATTAATGAATGTACATTAGGGTGGAAATATTAAAGCATAATAAAATATAATTTGATAAAGTTAACACTAATACCTCTGCAAAAAGAGACAATTTATATTTCACCAAATGATTTTAATTTTTGTTTGGAATGGTATTTGTTTGGAAGCCCTAATAGATTGTCTAACAATATATCATGCAGACGTATTGAATTCATAATCAGTTTTGTCTAAAATAAAGGAAAACAAGATATTTTCATGCAAGAAGTAAAGAAATAGTGGGGGTCGAGACATCTCAAGATAAGATGAAAACCAGAGTAGGTAAAGGACTGACGATTATTTCACCGGTAAGAGCACACAACAAAGATTTAATTTTTCTGTAGGTAAGAGCATCATAGCCTTGGAATTTAAAAAACAAAATGTGATTATCATGTTTGTTTGTATAACGATAATAGTATTATGAGGAGCCCGTGGCAATTAAGTTCAGACAATTCAACTCAAGCTATTAAAGTGGTCCGTGTGGTGACAGATTAAGAATACAGAGTGTCACCACCCCTATTCATCCCGTGGGTGTCGTAAGAGCCGACTAATGGAAAAACTACAGAGAGGACAGAGGGGACTACAGAGAGAAGGAAAACTTGACACAAACCCTATATCAACCCGTCTGGCCAGCGTGGTATAGTAGGCCAAAACCTCCTTTCTAAGGAGAGGCTTATGTCCAGCAGTGGACTATTAAAGGCTGTTGATGATGATGATGATATTAAAGTGGGCAAAAGCTCAAATGAAAAAAGTCTTCGAAATGTTTAAGACCGCAATGAAACCTACACACATATAAAAATAGAACATTAAATTAGAAC